AAGCAGAGGCCTGGTTCGTCCCCGGGACACTTCGCTTATCTTGGCCACGAAAATGGCCGCTTCTGGTTGCGTTCCATCGATCGCTAATTTGTCATCGGCTCGGCAATTTTCTTCAAGCACATACTTCAAATTTTAATTTGGAAATTACATGAACCGATTTTTAGAATCGGAAATCGGAAACTTTACGAGATCTAATAAATTTTGATTCCTCGAAATCCTTCGAATTCATCAAACTAACGATGATTATCTTTTTTCCCTTGTAAAAGAAATTATAGTTTTACGTTTTATTTTGGAGAAGTATCGTATCAAATTAAATCGTAAAAATAAAAAAGTTTTGTAAAAATTTAGAATATGTTTATTAAGGAAAATCCGAAATAAAACTTATCAAATGCGCTTAATGCAATTTATATTTGCATTCATCGATCTAAAATACATTTGTCAGTTTGTTAAAATATATTGTGTTCTCATTGTAAATTTTCGAATAGTATTGTTCTTCATTGCAAATTGTCGATATAAATTAAACAAATTGAAGTACTTACAGTACAATTTATCGCTGAAATTATATAAATTTAAAAATGATATAAATATGCAACTATTTCTAAGAGAAACATACATCATACTTTTTAAATAAATATGAATTTATACGTATATGATGAACAATTGGCCAAATTTAATCAAATTTCAAGATAAAAATTGTTATTTCCTGGAAGAAAAATTTAATTTTCAATTATTTATGAAACATTATTTTTCTGGAATATTAAAAATAATTTTCTAAATGCCTGGAAGGGTCGATTTGGAAAGTTGCGTATCTCGTTTCCGAGCCTCGTTTCAACATTTTTTAATTGCTTTTAAAGTTCAGTATTTTTCCGAACGAAAATATCATTGACATTTCTTTCATAAATATCATAATCAGATAAAGAATAGGTATATATAGGAAAGCTAATGAACAGATTTTACACAGTTCGCCATGATCTTGACAAGCATTAACTCCTTCCTTTTCGTTCTCGTTGCTCTCAATACCAACGTTCTCTGCGCTCCAGCATGGAACGCGCTTCCAAAAATTAACGAATGGAATTCGCCGAACAATCACACGTCGTACGATCGTAAGTATGCTTCAACGTTTGAAGACAAAGAAAGAAAAAAAAAAAAAAATTAATTAAAATTAATCGCATTTACTGTTACAAAAAAAAAAAAAAAAA